AACGTTCGGGACTTCAATTGCAAATGTGTCTGGGGATAAGAAACTCAAGTATGGTATTTAAGAAAGCGTTTCCTTTAGAATGCTGGAATCGTAGACCTTGACAGGGGTCAATGAAAATAGAACTAGACCGCAAGCGGTCGTCATTCTTTCCTCAGAGCCAAGTGCGGGCGGGAAAAAAGTAAAATTATCTCAATTGGGGGTAGAAAGGATGAGTGATTACTCAAAAGAAAATTAAAATACGAGATTGCTAGAAATCTAAGCTAAAACAAAACTGGAGTAACCATGAAAAGGTCACCATTTCCTTCTATTTAAAAATCATCATCATTCTTTTCATAAAACTGAGACTTTTTTCAATTGCTGACCATTCCCAATATTAATTTTATCAACATATATTTAATAATAATAATAATAATGATAATAATAGTTGATATGTTCTGTCGTAATTTGTAATAATTGCCGTAATTTGTAACAATTTTGTCGTAATTTTAATGCCTGTCTTAATTTTTAAGAACTTTGTCGTAATTTGTTATAACTTTGTCGTGATTTGTAATAAATTTTAATCTGATCATGTGACTTGTACTAATATTTTCAAACTTTTTGATTCAGTTTTACCTGGTATGTTATTTACGATAGGACCTAGGCACCGGCTGGGCCCACGCCTTAGGTTAGGCTGAAACTCAACCAGTTGGGAGATTATGTGTTAGAAGTACATAGAATAAGTTCAAGCAAAAAAACGCTCCACTGTGCATGGCTGAAGTTGAAGGAGAGTGGGTATGGTTGGTTTGCCGTTGTTCGCTTTTTCTTGGGAAAAAAAGTAGCACATCTAACGCAAAACAATGCTGAGTTGCAGAAAATAGACTTGTTTTCTTACAGACGGAACGGGTTTGAGTGAAGCTAATTTTTGTTTTAAAAAATATGCCATGTCCTATTGAAGTTAATTCATTGTAATATTTGTTTAGTTTAGGTGAATGCTAATTAGCTTTTTGCAAGGTATATCATTGCAATTATCTTGTTTCGACGAGAAATTTTGGTCACTTTGGAAATAAGTTCCTATAAAACTGAAATTGCATACAACTGTCCAATTTTTAGTAGTTTAAGCTAGTGTCTCATTTTTTAAGGCCAGTAAATCCACTGAAAACAATTACATTTAACAATGTTTTCTTATGGTTTCGCTTGTGCATTCAGGTTCGGTGTCTTTCCGGCTTTTACAGTAGGGATTTTTGCAATTACACCCTCTGCAACGCTACCCCCCGGTTTGGATCAGTTCACATGAAGGAACATGTCAAACCGACAAAAGGAGGTCCAAAATTGTTCCACCCCTCCACCAGGGTAGCTGAAGAACACGCGAAACTCCCTCTGAGAATAAGAGACAAAGTAAAGATTTATTTATTCCTATTATCATCTTTGTTGTTATTAACTGTGGCTTATAAATGTACTTATCACCTGTTTTTGACAACAGCAGGGCATACTAGAACTTGAAAGGTGGTCCGAATGACTGATTATTTTCAATTGTTAAACTTGCACTAAAATTTAAAAGTCTTTACAGGAGTCTCAGTCTGAGATAGCTTGCACAGATTGCCCTTACTCGTTTTTTTATGCAACATTTTCATTTGAAATAGTTAACAGGTTGTTCCTAAAAAAAGAGCTGATTTATTTTATCAACCTTGTACTGTCTCCTTCGATCAAAAACCACTCGAAAAACAAGCCTTGAATCTTATTACAAATTACGACAGCTTTTTTATTACAAATTTACGACAAAGTTAATGATAAATGAAATGATATGTGTGGGGAGAAGAACGCAGAAAAAAATTCCTGATGTGAATTAAACCCACGACCTTCCGTACACCAGTTGGATGCTCTAACCACTGAGCTACTGAGAACTCAGTCGTGTGCAGGTCAATTACGATAAAATTATTTATTACAAATTACGATAAAATTATTATAAATTACGACAGAACAATAATAATAATGAACCAAACAGCCGCAAAAATTCCAGTAGTAATAGGAGACCTGGGACTAATTAAGAAAGTGCTGCAGGAATATGTCCAACGGATCCCGGGTAACATCAAAATACATGAACTATAGTTACAGATGGGAGGATCACACTACTTGGAACATCTCATATACTGTATACAGTAACGAGAAAGATACTATTCATCGAATAGACTTCTACCTCATTCTAACACTAGGCCCTAGGAATGGGCTAAGGTATTATGTTGTATTACTGCATTAAGTCAAAGGAGGTAATGATAGTAATAGCTATTACTTTACAGAATAGGACTTCTTTGTTTTTACCTTTTTCTTGTTTATCATCCCTACAGACATTGAACAAAACCTTTGTATTATACGGAACCCATCATGGGATGTCATTTGTATACTGTCACATCGAACTTTCCTTTCTTATTTTTTGTTGATCAGAATAGCCATTAATTAAAGCACATCAACAAGAATAGAAAGGCTTGGTGTATTTTTACCTTTATAGCATTGCTAATGATTTGCGTCAAGGGAGCTGGTGTTTCCGATTCGATAAAAAAAAAACCCTTCTTTATCTCGTCATTTTGCAATTAACGGGAGCTCTTTGTTATGCGCATGCTTAGATTCGAGGTCTTCTTGTCGAACGGATCAAACACAATCTCCTCCAGGATTAATGATCGATGTTCCTCCTTAGACAAGGTATACAGCTATTCTAGATATGTTACGTATCATGGCTTTCTTCAATTAAGGGTCACCCTGTATTAACGTGGCGAGTCCTCAGCGAAGGTAAGTAAAACAATTTGACTAAAACTGAAATGAGTCAAAGACAAGGAGATTTTCAACGCTTACCTCACAGCTGTTAGTTTATTACGTGTCAGTGGCCTTAAAAGAAGAAAGTTCGTTAGGGGCGTGTCAGCTTCGCAGTAAAAGGCGGAGATAGTTAAACTACCAGACCTTGAAGGTTATTTCAAAACACTTTGAGCTTTTGAGATCAAAAGCAGCTGTTCGCTTTTTGTTATTCAAAACCGATATAATTAAAAAAAAAACCTGAGTAGCTTCAATCCTACATCAACTTCTCGTGGCAGAAGATCATCCCTAGAAGTATATTAAACTATTGATTCCCAAGCTTCCTATCCCAGAAAAAAAAGAGAAGAAGAAGAAGAAAGAAACCTACTACAGTGCCTCTAAGAACAAATTAAACAAGACAGGCGTGTCTCAAGATCTGATTATCCCGATAAATTCACTTCTGCGCAATCAATAACCGCGATCTGGCATGGCGAATAATTATTAACAATAATTAATTTATTTTTTTTTCTCTAATGAAAAAACTCAGCTTAAAAATCCCTTTGCGGGGGGATACAACGGCCAAACATAACCATGCATTCTGCGCAAAACTCGGCGTGCGTTTCCGTATTTTAAAGACGTTTCCTGTCATTTCAACCCGACTTTCTTTGATCATTTCACATTTGAAAACAGTGACACTGTCAAAAAGTATTTTTACGCCAAAAATTTCATGGAGAAGTTAGTTTCCGGCAGGTTTCACGGCAATTCATATATGAGTAATATCGATCACCTTAATCACATCTATTGCTGTGAAATATATTTAGTTCATTCATTAGATCTTTTGTTCGTATGGAGGACTTTTGGCCTGCTGAATTTGATTCTTTAGCTTTTCGCGCGTGCTCCCGAACCCACGCTTACGTTTGGTTCGATATATACTTCCCTCATACAAAGTCTCTAACAAGATGATTTCTGGTAAAGAAAAAAAAAATTATGTAGATACTTAATGCGAGTCAAGGCGGCTAGCCCTTCGGGTGTTTGGATTCGATACTCATCTTCAGTTTTAGATAAATCGATGATTAACAAGGCTTTTTTTGGCGACAAACTAAGATCCCTTATGAACTTAAGACTAAAAAAGTGACAGCCGCTTTCGTGGGTCAAAATTAAAACCTCCGATTTAATTTTTCTGATTGAACGGCTAAAACATTAAAAGGTTTCTGCAATGTCAAGCGTACTTTTTATTTTCTATAACGGAAATATGCAATGCTCTAGAACAATCTGTCTTCATAGCCTTAAACTCACAATTGAAATTATCGCGCGTTTTGTTATCATTAATGATTTGATCGTCCGATAAACTAAAACAAACATTGATTTTGATCGGCGAACTACAAAAAAAAAAGGTAACATTTTTTAGCGGTAAAGAATGAATAAAAAATCTCAAGCTTCTTTGTCTCTTTGCTTCAATTATGATCTCTCTCGACTTAAGAATTGTCGGTTGATGGCCTCGCTGTTCCGTAGTCTTCGTAATTCTCCCTGGCTATAAATTAATAGGAGCGTTAATGTAGTCAGTGCTCTGCTTAATTTGTTTTCAAGTCTTTCTACCGGACAAAACAACAGAGAAAAGGAAATTATACTGCATTCAACAATGATAAGAGTGGCTTAACCAACTAGGCGATTAAACGTAGATCTCTTCATTTCTCAGCGGTTTGGTTATTTTCAAGAGCACTTAACTTCCTAACTTTTATCCGGTCGCTAAGTAAAATTTAAGGCAGCTTAAATATTGAGTTTTATCGTAATCCAGATACAAAATTTGTGATATCGCCTTTCAACTAATACCAAGAAAAATGTTATTTAAGGAATTTTTATCCCCTTTCCCTGAGGTTTTTAAACAATCAGGTATTTCCGCAGGGTTAAACAATTTTTTCATCATTCTAAAAGCTAACATCTGCTCTGTAAAGATCACATTTAGAAGGATATTGGTCTGGTGGGTCTTTTGTGCTGGCATATTTCCCTAAGAAAGGCGTTTGTCCTGGTGTTTAGATAATCGCCGAAAGGGGCTTTTACCAAATGTACTATTGACAAGTTGCTTCCCTCAAGCGGATGGCCACAGCCAGGCTAAGCACCATCGAAGGAAAATAGAGGTGAAAATGTGGCACTGAGGAACTGATATCTTGTACACGTCACTTCCAGGCCTACGTGTTGAAGCTGTTATAAAACTGTGGTAAAAATTAGCGCCTCAAACAAAACGGGAGGAGTAACGAGCGGTGGAACTTCTCATTAACGAAATCGCAGCAGCAGGCGATCGGACTGGTATTAGAGTTAACGAAGTCACAAAGGTAACTCATTTTTATTAGTTGAGGGGTAATTGGGTTCCTACAGTCTAAGATCACGAATACTTGTTAACAAGTAAGAATATAACTTTATTTTATTGATTATCAGGAGTGACAAAAAGCTGTATTAGGCAGCTATATTTTGTAGTGTTACATCTTGTTTAATGCATCGACTCGTCCTCACGCTTCAATATTTCACAGACTTTGAGTACGTTGCACATGTGTGGTTTCTCTTATGATTGAAATTCCCTGTAACCATAAAACCGTTTGTAAGCAATCAAAAGGATCTCGGTGCGGGGTAATTCTAACCATAAGCAGCCAAAAAACAAAACAAAGCAATAAAAACAAAATTGCACAAATTAAGTACAGACAAAATAAGCACACTTTTGACGAAAATGAGAGAGCGAGTGAAACTTTTTAATACCTTAATTCACTTTTGAAAGGTTATTAGTAATATTTAATCCTGGCCCAGAACTAGTTTTTTTTTAAGCTCTCGCGTTTTTTATATCCTTCCAATCTGAAAATAATACTAACTGATTTCGAAAAGACGTTCATAAATAAGAAATAGAAAAGTATTTCGGGGGTTCCTGGTTTTCTCTAAGTAACACTGGCTAATGTTACGGTGGCAAAAGGAGTAGATGAAATTACGTTAAAACATCAACATTTCCGATCTCTGTTCAATAACTCAACAAGGTTATATTAAAAAAACTAGAAGAGTCCACTCTAAAATGATTTTGGGCTTGTCAATTGTTCGTTCTCGAGTTTTGAAGAAGGCGTTTGTTAAACTATTTTCCGCCGCAGTCCGGACAAAGGCGAGTAATCCGCGATTTTGATTGGCCCACGGTAAATACTGCTTACTCCGAAAAAACATCTGGCTCGTTCTTTGACTAATGACTTAAATAAATTTTGTAATCTTTATTAAACCTATACCACTATTTTCGGCCTTAGGTTAATACTCAAACTCTACTCAGTGCTACTTGATTTTTATTGGTCCAGTATAATGTAACTCTGGCGAGATATCACTGGTAGAATTTTCCAGCGTAATATTACAATCATATTTATATAGTCGACTTAAGCAATCATCGAATGCTGGTAATACATCCGCCCTTTGGCGGATATTTAACTCTTAACCACGCTATTCGTAAAGAGGGTGGGTGAGGCGCATGTAAACAAGATGAAAATTTCTGCGCGTATTATCTATCCTCAAGAAGGATTAGGATTATAAAAGCTTTCGTAAGCGACCACACCAGCTCGAATTCATAAAGTGGTCGCAACTTGAACTGATCGTTTAAGAGAGTGGGCGTTACTGCGCTTTTCACAAACATGCGAATTCTGAAGTTCTAAAGCCAACTGACGATTGCGTTTTTCGCTGCTGTCAATCATCTAAACCGACCTCTTAGGAAACAAAACTCTACATTAACGTGTTCCAAAGGTCATGGTTTTTGATTTGTGATTGGTGGGTTTCGATCCGTTTTGTGTGTTTCTGTCGAGGTGTTTCAAGGTTAGTTGCTTGTGATCGTAGTTATGAATTGTGAAGGCCGCTTTTGAACTTTAGAGTAGGCATGTTTGTGAAAAGCGCAGTAAGCGACCATGTGAAAAACCTAATAACGGCAGTCGGTTGCGAGATTTTAACAGAAAGCTTTGGACATGTTGTTACCAATTGCCAATGGTATTTTTAAAATAATATTGATTACACAGTCTTCTGTTACTTCACTTGCGAAGTTCAGTTCGCGTTAATACAAGACAACGAAGCATGCGCTTCGCCTCGGTAGAAGAATTGTGCATGGGTGACGACACACACACACACACACACATAAACGGCTACTAACGAACTGCAAACATCCATAACATCTCCAAAATTAAGAACATAAATAGCACTACCATTTTATCACTCATGCACGCAGTCAGTCTTTTTTAGGAGAAAATTAACGAACAAGACCCTTTTTTTTTTACGTTTTCCCTTTTTTTTCTTTCAACAGATACATTTCACCTTATTGAAGACGCAACTAAGTAATCTCGCGATGAACAGAAATATTCTATTTGTTTTTGGAATTTTAACGCTGCTAACAATCGCTGTATTTTTAACGGACAGTAGCAAATCCCGAGTCAGATTTCATGATAGGCGGTTCTTGAGATCGAGATGGAGGCTTAGACCAACAGCAAAACCGACAAGAAGATATCGTACCCCGTTGCGTCAGGCCCAAAATAACCAACACAGCGATAGTCCACCAGTTTTTACTAATCAAGAGGACGTCCGTAAATATTATGATGATATCTACGAAAATGGTTAGTTAATTTAGAAGCCTTAGAAACTTAGCCTGTGAAAACAGCCGACATTCTGCGACGCCCACTGATTTCTCCGCGAAATGACGTCTGAGACATGAGCGCAGAAATTCCATACTGATGACGTGAACTACCCCGGTCTGGGAAGTGCTTCTGATTGGTCGTGGCGAGAGGGACATTTGCTTTAACCAATCAGAAGAACTACCTAGATATGGGTAGTGACACGTCACCAGTATGGAATTTCTGCATTCGTTCGGCTCAGAGGTCATTTCGCGGGGACACTAGTGGTGTGTTCACGAAATGTCGGCTGTTTTCTAATTATGCTATGAAAATTGTACTTTCCTACCGATCCTTGCTAAGCGATGAAAACCAGCCGAAGAATGCGGCCCTATGTGTATGAGAAGATCATTTTACGACAAAAATCAGGCGTTGAACATAACATATGTCATGTGAAATGCTCCTTCGGAACGAATTGTAGGTGTCATTGGAGCTGTCAGTGGTGACGCTGACATGAAAACGAGTCGACTTGGTCTTCTTCTCTGAATACACCGATTCTAGAAAGACTGAAGTGTATATAGTCTGTCTAAGCGAGGCTGAATGGAACAAAAATTACGATAAAAAGAAATGATCCACAAATAATGGGCAGCTGCAAACTGTAAAAGCGGCTCAGTGAAAATTATTGATAGAAGGGGTTGGTTCAGTTTCGGTTCAGTAAGTACGCACTGTTGCACAGTAATTGTGGGCCCTTTTCTTTTAATAAACACTGTTCCGCGGAAGTTTGAATTAGTCCGTTTCACTTTTTTCGCTCAGCCGTTCTTTGATGTTACGCTTCTCTTACATGCAAAGGCAGGATTTTCCTGGAATCTGTGTTTCACTACTTTCCTCGCTAGCAAGCTCTTTTCCTATATATGTAAGAAAGAATACATGATCATGCAGCTGGCTCGGTTATGGGTGTTTTGATATCTCTTGAAACTCAATTGCTATATTGGATCAAAATGAAACAAATAAACTCAAGAAAATAAATTATACCATTTGTATATACGGCTTTATTCGAGTCCTTTGGGCCACGCTATTTGAGTGATTTTTTTTGTAAAGATATATCAAAATTTGAATGCCGAAGTTTATAATTTACTCACGCATAATTTTATCGGATCTATCTATATCAGCTTATATCGTAAATTTTGTTATTTTCTTTTAAATATGTTATTTTTTGTGCTTTTATGCGTAGGTGATTTGTCTTATCCAGAAGACACAAGATCTGCAGAAAGAACGCTGTTGAGATGAATTGCGATATAAATATTATAATAGTTTTGTAAATGTTTAAACTAATTTATTGTATTAATAAAACAGTTATAAAATGAAAGCGATGTGTGGGGTGAGGGTTCATTGAATTCGATTCGGCTCAAGTTAAATACGGCGTCTGAATTAATCGTTTTTAGTATGAAGGCCTGGGAATCCGAATGTCCTAAATTTTACAAATCCGAAAACATTTGTGATAATCAGGAAAGAAATTCTCTCTAGTGTAAACGAAGACTTTATAGAAAATAGCTCCGCCATCAGCGTGCAAGAAATCACATGTGAGAAAAACGATACCTCAATTACAAGTAATTATTATTTGTTTACTTCATCACGATGAATAACTATTTCCTTTTTTTAGAACATCGAACTTTTCTAGTTTTGCATTCCTTTTTCTTGATTTCTGGTAAAAAAAAAAAAGAGCTAGTCAAGAGTTCTATTATTTGTTTTGAGCTCTATAAGACTGGATTGGTAATCTTTGACTGTTTCATTCTGTGAAAATGTTGTTTTATAAACAAACCAAGGTGAACTTAAATTAGTGTAAATTTCCTAAGTTGTATAGAAACGTGTGCCAATGGTAATAAAATAAAACGACTCAATGCATGCTGTGCATGTTTAGCCGGCTAACATACAGCGTATCACCCGCCTGGAATTAATAGAACAAAATTAACACAATAAGTCATGAAACCCCTGTGAAATGTTAGTACTTCTAAAAAATAATATTATATACACTTAAAACTTCAAAAAAAGTTCATTTGCGATTCAGCTTCTGGTACTTTCTATACTTTCTTCACTCTCCTATAAAACCGGCCTGCCGTGTTGAATCGTGCGTTTTTAAACTTCGATTCTGTGATGTAACAACTCTTTAAGTTTAGTGAACTGCGCTAGGACCGCGTGGTTTTGGAATATAGTAAATTACTACGTATTAAACGTACCTTTATCCAATAATATACTTCTGGAAATTATACCGCGAGTGGGAATGAACTGGACAGGAAAGTATACGATGTATCGCTCTAAAAACCTCTTCGTTCACATGAAAAATGTTATGTTGTCAGCAAGCAAAATAAAACTTCCAGTTGGGTTAGATTGAGTATAACGCTGCTGACGTGAATAATAAAATTTTTATAGGTCTTTCTTGGATAAGCATTTTTGTGATAATGGTAGCGGCTGGAGTCCCAGCTGGAAGCAACGCAGGTAAAGTCTAACTCAAACACGAACAACAGAAGCGTTCTTTGATAATTTATAGAGTACATGCCTCCTTTCAGTTTGTCAGCGTTTGCAACAGTGATTTCCCTCATATGTATTAAGAACGTTTTCTCCTTTTTTAGCGGACCAAAGTGTCTGCCGAAACCAAAAACACACACACACACAAAAAAAACAAATAGTAAACTTCTAACAAACTTTCAAGTCTTTCAACCTTACGTCGAGGTGTCGTAGTTTAGTACTTTGCATATTTAGCAGCTATCAGACGCGCCAAGAACTTCACGAGGGTTTGCAACGCGTTTGTTCCATGGTATCGCACAGGGAGTCGGAAACTTTTCGTTTTCTTTTACAGCTTGGAAAAGGCTTTGGTATTATCCCAACCAAAATTTTGTTGTTGTATCAAAGATAACACGAAATCTAAGAGTTATCTTTTACAGGAATGTTTGCCAGTGTATGGGTGATAATTACTACAAAACTCTGACTTCCACTTGTAGTTAATATTGTCTCTTTATTTTGTTGGATACTGTTTCACGGGTATTTTTTGCAATTCAAAGTATCTAATATTAAACCAAGCAAATTAAATTTAAAGGAAGTGAAATAATAACTCTGTGACAACAGTTGTTATTGTTATTTTAAATGGTCCGTGGCTTACTTGTAGAAAATAATGTTGAAAACAACTGATTAAGTGATATATCTCAAAGGTTTGTTGACGCAAACGAATGATAATTTGTTACATATTTATGAACTGTGAAGCCTCAGCTCGTCACCATTTCACTATTTATGGATTTGAGTACATTTAATATTTATTTTTAGCACCCTTTTTAATCTTCACACTGAGATAAGTTCATTTTGCCTGTAAGTTATCATCACGCACCGTGAAAAAATGAAAGCGGCTGTGGTCAAACCATATCACGGATAGATTTTGTGTCGACACGATAAGCTATCTGCTACATAGTATGAACACCTATCCGATATGTGACTCTCCACTATAGAGACCTGCGCAGCTTTGCTCCGTTACAGACTCTCACCGAAATTTCAGGGCGGAAAAACGTAATGAGCATGCGTGAACTTTTTTGCCCAGATCCCCTGGCCGGGTTTGAAAAAATGGCGGGATTTCAAATATTTTATTGCCTAAAAATAAGATGTTTCCACTCGTAACCTGGAAAGAACAGGCAATTTGTCTTCAAAAGTTGCAAGCTGTGGTTATAATCTTGTCGTTACTTAATTTTCTCGAAGAATACCTCATAGCAAAACGGACTTTAACGACATCAATTTCCTTGCGTTGTACTGGAAATGTGCATGCATAGGTCCGATTTTTTCAAGATGCATTCACAAAATGTGTTCATATAAGGAAGTTCCTGGATATATAAGGTCCGGAGCTCCACTGTGGACACAAAAACAACATATCTTTGGACAGTGATTTGCTCAAAAAAATTAACGCTTGCCCACAATGTGTTTGAAGGCACTGAACTTGTGGCACTCGAGCTGATATTTTAAAACCCTCGCTCGATCGGAGACTCGTAGTTTCGCAGATCACTAAAATATAAACAGAATCCTCAATGTAGAAGTTATTGCGTTGATATGCGGGCAGAAAAAAGGTCAATCTTTATCTAGTAAAATCTTCCCAAAAATCGGTTTTAAAGCAACTATAGTTTATTTTTAAACTTGACCGATTCGCATACAAAGAGATAAATATAAATTATGCTTTGTGTTGTCAAGTTGAAAATGCAGAACATCTGTCAAAAACCTACACGTAAGTAGGATTTCCTTCAAACAAAGTTAAAATTACATTATTGCAAAAACTTCTTGCTGACAATGAAGAAATGAATTTTTTGTACGAAAACAACCTACCTAAAGATCTTAAAAGCAAAAGATCAGTTGCAGTGAGCTTCGCAGCTAAACCATGATTCACCATGTAGCTCTTCTCCTCGCTTTAATAACTCAGTGAATAACTGGTCCATGTGAGGGTCTTCATTCAAGCAAATTAATTAAACTCAGCCAATCGTTACAAAATTCAGAAAACTGCACATAAGGGTATTTGTTTTGCTCGCTTCAGACAAATCCAGCTCCAGCAATTCAGTGTTACGGGCAGAGTCAATTGTTTTGAAGTGACTGCCGGCAGTTGTCCTCTACTTCACAGCGAGTGAAATTTAAAATTTGCGTACAGAAAGTTATTTCTTATGAAGAACAGAAACTTTCACAGTGTAGTGGAAACAGGGGCGGATCTAGGGGGAGGGTGCAGGGGGTGCGCACCCCTCCCTGAGGTGACCTGCGGTTTTCTAATACAGCTAGTATTCTGAAAAAAAAAAAAACTATGTGGTTTATTGGTTTTGAAGTAGAGCAAGAGACGAGTGCACCCCCTCCTAAAAAAAATCCTGGATACGCCCCTGGGAAAACAAAACTATGTAATTAAAAGTGAAGAAAACTCTGACTACTTATAGTATTTGAGCAACAGAAAAATGATTCTTTTCTTCTAGAGTAAGTTTACTGGCCTTCTAGCGGTATTTCCGAGAAAGTTTTACGGCGCACAAAATGGTTCTTTGACTGAAGAGAAGGATAAAGCTGGTTCTACAAAAGGAATAAATCTGGGCATGTGAAAAAGTATTTACTAATTTAAAAAAAAAGTGGGTTTTAATTCAGCCCGGCGAAAGAAGGCGAAATCAACTCACAAATAAATCGAATGAACAATCAAAAAAATACTCGCCTCTTTGGAAATGTTCAAAACTCTTTATTCCACCTCAGACTGACGGAATGATCCGTTTTTCCTTTAACACTGGTTGTTCCGAGTCCAAAGTAATTTTCAAGTCACGAAAAACAAAAACCACACAAAAGTAAAAAGGCTTTTCGAGGAGCAAACGTTCACGCCTTGTGCATTTCATTCAGTCTTAGTCAGAACTCTCTCACATGCTCAACACAGTCAACACACAGAAAAGCCTGCCTTGAGCCTGCGATAAAGGATGCGCAGAAGCTTGCGCAGAACGTTTTTCCGCCCTGAACACCGAAATCACCGTTCTTTATCAGACTCGTACCCAGTCGCTATTTATGTGTTTTGGGGGGAGAGAAGATTGGGGGTTAGGTTGAGGCGCGCGAGGGGTCTCATGGAAAGGGACGAAGGAAAAATAGCGAATCCGATATTTAAAACATATTTAACTTTTCTCGTGTTCTCCCAACATCCCGCGCGGGTTATTAACGGAGTCGTTTCTATGAGTTTACCGGCACAATCAAAAGCATCGGTTTTTAACCAATCAAAACGCGCGTACTATCTTGGTTATTCTATAAAGTGTGAGCATAGCTTAAGAAAGTTTGAATTAATAAAATGTTCAATAACTCAGCATTCAATTTAATTCATGATATATATACCACCAATTCTTCGTGACTGGTTTTCGATTTCTCTGTATAGTATTGATACTGAGAGCCACACGAGTTAAGTGATAAGAAATAATCAACTAGACGATAACTGACGATATCAGCTCCAAGTTTTAGCGAATGATTTCTAACTTAGTTTTATATCGGCGATGAGAACCACGAAAATCGTCAACCAACCACAGTCTTTCACACTAATCAACGGATCTGGTCGGCAACAAATACTTTCAAAAATCAGTTCAAAGTTTAATATCTAAACAAAGTATATTTTCTAACAGTCTATTATAACGCGGTTATTGAAAAAAACAACAACAAACAAACAAACATACAAACAAACAAAAACAACAGCAAAAACAACAACGGACCCCTGAAGAAACAGCTTCTAAAAAAAATTATCAATGCTATGGTTCAAACGATGCCAATCACCTGCCTCCACGGGTTAATAGCCCTACCCAGAAAATCGACACTATCACCTGATAAGGATCTGCGGTAAGCCATTGATAAGAGATACAATCGTATACCATATCTGCAAACAATTAAAATAAACGAACCGTAAACTTAGCCATGAAAACTATTTCGAAGAATTTTAAGGATTTTTTGTGACTTCCTATGAAATCTTTCGACATCATGAAATTCGCGAAATATCCGAGAATCCCCGGGAATCTGCAAGAGCTTCCCTAATTGAATTGCACATGTCAGAAAATCCGGCTCGGGCACATGTATGTTTAGCTGACGCTAGAATCCAGTTTCTAGAAAGCTTATTCTCCGTCATTCTGCTTAACTATGGCTTTTACACTTGAAATATTATATTCATACTGTCTTGGTAATGCAAGCCTCAGTTAACTTTTCTTTTAAAAATTAACCTTGACTTTATTGTGTCGAACTAAAAAAAAATATAAGTTTGCCTTTTTTAAGGTCGGAAGAATTTCTACAAAATAGGCTGCCATGTATTTGTGGATCTGATATTTTTATAACCTAAATCTCTCAACTGCATGCGTAATGAGTCCATTATCGAGGGGTTTACTTCGCCCCCTGGCAGCGTGATCATAGAGATCAATCCTCGACAACATTCGACAGTGCCCATCCCGGTGCCCACATGGTCACTATCGATCTCACTGCGAATTGCTCCGCACGGCATGTATTAAAATTACAATCATTTAACAATTCCTAAGTTTTGTGACTTCAAAATTCGAATTAAAATTATCCATTAACTACAGTATAATCATATTTTTCAATATTTTGACCCAGACGCGCCGTTAACCGCGGAGAGCCCGATACCGTCGACGACAAAATTTTTAAAGCCCTATTAAAGTTAAATAATATCAAATAAAAGGTGCAAGATAAGATCTAACCTCTCGATATTTGTAGCATGAAGAACCATATCGTAGCATGAAGAACCATATCGTTATCCTCCTTTCATTATCCTCCTTTTGATTTAGTGATTACGACAAAGATACTGACAGTATCCTTTTTTTTATACTTCTGCCTCTGCACTATGACCTTTTCTGACACGTGTAACTGGATCCCGACTCGCACACTGCGATCACGTGGTTGGAAACAAGCGTTCTATTGTTGTTTCAAAATATGGTGGCCTTGGTTGAGCTGTGAGCGGGTTAAGTTACTTTTAGATTCTTTATATTAAGCTTTTTCAAGATTGATCGTCAAATCTAGGGAGTGTCTGCAAATGTAAAGTTGTTTAAATCACGAATTACAAATGCCTATGGATTGTCAGAGTCTGGGAATTTCCCAGTTCCGAGGTACGGATCTTGAACTTCAATTCTGGTGCGCTGGGCAGTTAGAAATTCCACAGTGTTCTTCATATCCGCTGTTAGATGTGAGTTTGAGAGATTGATTGTTCCTTCTTTACGATAAATTTGATTATACCATATAAAAACTAAATTAGCCGAGTATATGCCCTTTCAAAGAGAATTGATATAAAAATTTTCGTCTCAAGAGACAATTGCATTTGCTATTATTCTATCAGAATGATCTATGTGTGTTATGCATGGTTCAATTTGACCTGTTACCATGCCCCCCGGCATACCCCTAGCCTGCGTAGCATGGCGGTTCTGTCGGGAGCACGACTGACCAACGCGCGCAAAGCGCGCACGAACGAGTGGTGGCGGCAGCGTGATTTGTCCCAGCCCCTTCCACCAGGACAGTACCGTTTCAAAAAATTTCAAGCGCAACTTAAGAGACAAGAAAATGACCTCGCATCGAACGCGTGCGCTTCCCTCACTAAATCTGCATGAAGAAAAAGTGAGAGACAGTTTGCAGTCTAATACGAAGTAAGACTTGTTACACTGCTGTATAATAAACACGGAAAAGATGTTGATAAAAACCTAATAAGAAGGTTATATAGGCCCCTTTTAGCAGTAGAAATGCGTAACCCAGTTTTCGAAATGATAAAAAAAAAAACCAAACAAAAACGAAAGCCCGAAAGACGAAATAACGAACAACAACTTAAAAAGAATCTTTAGCGTGCCAGCATTAATTGATGGCGCGAACCCTTCGCCGTGGGACTGGTCGCGAATCTTTATGGAAAACCGCTTGCCAGGTGCAGTTTTACGGTTTCGCGCCAAAAGAAATACATGGTCATAATATAAAGCATAGCAAATCCTTCTGTAATGAATCGATTCGGAGTGTAGACGCATCGGAATTAATCGCCGTATTTTTTTTAAGAAAGCATAATCCGTATTTCAATTAAAAAAGAAAAACTGCAACAGTTGTTTCGACCAACGGTATAATTCGCCCCCATATATTTTGTTCAGATTATTATTAATTCAAACTTCAACTAAAATAAACTTTCAAAGCAAAATTCCTAAAGGCCAGGAAATCTCCTTGCCGAGATTGTTCTAAAACTTTCTCTTCGATCGACCTCTTCTAAACATTCATTTTACCGCGGAAACTTTTCACGGCCACCGTCATGAGGCGCGCTGCAAACTTAGAAAACTGATCAGCTTACACTGAAATTCCTGCAGTTATCGTAAATAACTTGGGTCATATCCTAATAATCCTCAGATTGTATTTATTTTTATGGCACGAACAAGGGTGGCGCTTTTACGTAAAACAGCCATTCGAATATCAGAAGTTTCCGCCAATCCAAGTCGGCACTAAAATGTTTTTCGAACTGTGTACGGTTTTCGGTATTTGTATCATATATATTTTGTTTCTTCCAACAACTAACACAACTAAACATGCAAACCGTCAGTTGACAAAATATAGAAGAACAAACTTATTGAGGAAGAGCTTACCGTGTTTGATTGGGGAAGTTCTTACCTTGAAGATGTTTTTCAGTTTTTTAGGGTGATGCAGATGGAATTTTTTCTGGGCATTCACTACTTCAGAGAAACTGTATTACACTCCTTGCACTAATAATAATTCCTTTTTCTTTCAGGAGGTCAGTCCCGCGTAACTGATGAAAAGTATAAGACTGATTGAATGATAGCTATTGCCATTATAACTTTCGTATTTTTGAGAAAAAGCTTTTACACCATGATTTTTATATCACCTGGGTTTTGTGGTTATTACTGGTGCAAAGGTTAAGTAAAAGAGGTATTTCTTTTTAGAGTGATTCATTAGCTTTTATCGTTTCTTGAAGCACTTATAAGATAAAGAAAAGTATATTTTAATGTAATTTTTGTTGAGTAGGCGAACCTTCCATAAGCTTGAATGCCGCTGTTTTTTTATTATTGTTATTTTTTTCATATTCCACTTTATTTGCTTTGTTTTTGTTCAGTTTACTTTAACGACTTTTAGATCCGACACCGAAAACACGATACTCGGCAAAAACAAGTACTGGTCACGACTTTGGGATATTGTCGCAGCTTACTGTACCATCCGAAATCTTGTTCCTGTTACTGCCGGAATAGCGCATAAATAGACGTTACAGTTAGATTAGTGCGATAAGCGATTTAAATTAATAAATTAAAAAAAGTAACTTGTATTTCAGTGACTCAATGCAAGTTGTGCCTACTTGTCTAACCTAAAAGTCCCTAATACTTTTAATTATATGTACGGCAAAATATTCCTTCGAGGACTCAAAGCGATGAGCTTTTTTTTTATTTTAATGCAGAACCAGTAAATATACATCACTTCTTAAGTTTTCAAATTGTTTAATTAACATTGAATTATTTAAATTTCATGACGTTATAATGGTTTAGGCAATCCCAACATCACCTTTCAAGTTCTGTTGAGCGACTTTAGCAACTAAATGTGGACAGCATATGAGAAAACTGCACATTTAGACTATTACTCAGTGAATTATTTCGGTATAGCTTGTCGGATCGGGCGTCGAGAGGTTTAATTGATATTTGGATTCAGATACTTCAAAGCTCTTCAGAAAGGGAATTTAACTTTTATTGCAGCTATCATGATACACCGGAAGACTCTCACTTACAATTTTTTTAGTGATTTTATATATGAAAAAGCCGTTGTATTTAAGTAAAGTGGTAAGAGGTCTAGCTTCTTTGCATATAAGTTATCTTTACTGAACAAATATCTCTTAACGAATGCCTTTCGTACCGATATCAGTTCTACATATGCACTTCTAAATTGAATTAGCTCATCTGATTATTTTGTAAAAGTAGGTAACGCATTGAGCAGAGGTTTTCGTGTGTACGTAATGAATGAATAATATTTTTTCCATTAAGCTAAAAATCATGTCTTTATATTTAACTTGCTGGCAATGATCTTAAAAATGTTTTCAAACTTTTGTATATCGGGTAGCCTGGAGTTGAAACACTTCTTTCGACGTTCAACCTTTTTGTGCTCGTACCGCACAGACTACAGCAAACTATTAACGCCAGTGTCGATTGCCCTTAACCTTCATCTATAATCTGATATTTCTACAACGAATTGTCGATAAGATTTAAGGGAAAAAAATATTGAAATTAGAATAACCCTACCATTGCTGACCAAAGGTTGCTAAAAGAACGTGTTAGTAAAAAGGGCACATTGGAACAGAGCACAATAATTAAGTTCTGTCTCAAACTACTTTTAAAGTCTTCGTTAATGAAAGTGTGAATTTGAAGCTCTGATACGATAAAAACTTTAATGGAATGGGCGTACTCAACGTTTAACATATTTAAATGAGAAATCAAGTTTTTCTTTTATAAAGATTGAATTTTTTTCTCTGCTGCTAGATGACTTGACAGTGTAAAGAACAGAGATCTAAATGAATAAACGCAACTTTGGTTATAAAGCAAAAAGCTGAAGTAGGGAAAGTAAACGTATTAGTACTTTGAACCATTTAAACCATAACTTATAAAAAGGGCGAGAATATCTTTTTATCCGAATGTCTTTGAATTTTGCTTCTCTACACCGCTCATCGATTGGTCCTTATTCACTTCTACAGAAGTAAATGCAAGAGGAAAATATTTAAGTAAAAAAGAAGAAGAAGAAAAAAACCTTTTGATTATATTCAAAAGTGAAAATATAAATATATCATTCTTACCAGTCACTGAGACACAATTTTTTAGTTCCGATCCATGCACTGAAATCTACACGTTTAGTCATGAGGTTAAATTATTATTTTCTTTTATTTCTGATCATCCTTAATGTAAATACCTAAGAGGCTGAGAGAGATAATTTCGTGCAGCTAACTATTAACAAGAAATTTGAAACGACGCTCTTTATACATTTTTAAGTAAATAATGTTAGTTGAATATTGGAAAATTTCAGTGAAAGTGTAGACAGAGTACCGAAACTAAGCCCTAATGGCATGAGAACTATTAATAAAATCTGATTCGCTAAGTCCACCTGACATATGAACCTTACGCTTCTTTATTTAGCCACGTGGTTCGAATGTCAAGAAATCAGCCACTTCCCTTATTGTTTTTTATTACGTAAGACTCAAGCTTCCTTTTGCGGTTTCTTCTGATCGGGGTTGCTTAATGACCGTGCCTGAGGCAAGACGCATTAAATTAAGTTTTGTTACGGGAGGGCAGACGAATTAAAGTGGGTAGAATTATGTCTACTCTTTACATACATTGGTAAATTCAATAAAAATTGCCCTTCCAGACGAATTTCATGTAATAATATTCCCTCGGGAAGGTGGCTCCCGCTCTCGCGTGCTTGTAAGTCTATCGAAGTTTATACCCCTGCTGAGAGGGACAAATTGACCTAATTCCAAATCTCATTCTGGGTTATCACAATGACATGGAATATTATTCTAAAGCTGCAGTTTTGCAAACGCACACGTCATATGAATCCATTTTCGGCGGGGTGCAAATCAAACAATATAAGCAACAATAAAAGTTTTCCTTTGATGTCTGTCAGCTCTCTTTTCTAAATATCACGGAAACTGAAATTCAGACAAGTCAGTAAATTTAGCCAGCTTGTATTAAAATGTACTATACTAAGGTCAGAGTATTTGGGTAGCTAGTGAGCTGAAATTAAAATGACAAATGAATTAAGAAATGAAACTTAACAAAGCTGCTACTTCCACAATATTAGAAAGTATCATGATCTATTAACAAAAATGTCTACGGTTCGTATCTCTGATTTAGACTCAGACATTCTTTTTTTGCAGAATGATAGCTGCGCATGTTGAATTTACGATTGTAAAAGTGTAATACTTTCATAGTACTCAACTCTGTCTTAGTGCAGTGAGCCAAGGTTCCTATGGTTTGATATTTGAGACTGTCATGAAATTCAAAGAAGTACCATTCAAACGAATTATAGATATACCGAATAGTGCTTGGTCCCTAGCTTTGAGTCTTTTTTATAAAGTACTTGAGTGTGTCCATTCAAATGAAAGCAACTAAAAACTACTTTCATATGTTCTAATCTTTTATTAGCTGTACGAGTTGGCTCTAAGTTTTTTTTTTAACGTGAATAAACTCCTAGACAGTAACAACTTAAGAACTGCTTCGCAATCTAAGAGAACAAGTAATTTTGATATTATTTTACTTTTGAAATTTGCGTCATTTAAAACTTCTCGTGAAACGCTCAATATAATTATTCTTCATAAAAAAAAACAATAGTTGACTCATCCATACAAAGTCAATTCACCAACAGTTAACTAATTCTTTTAACTCGAATCTTAAATCACATGACTTATCACATGATCAAAATTATATGTTAAGGGGCTCGAAAGTCTCGGCAAATTTCAGGGGCCGAAATCAAATACTCAAATCAAAATCTCAGATGAATAAACGCGGGTCGAAGCTAACAAACTGGTTCATTTTGTTTAGACAACTGATAGTGTTTTCTTGTTATCTGAATTAAGAAATGATAGGCGTGCAGCGTGCAGCCATCGAGTTATGGATGCACGCGGGAGGTTGCCGCAAGCACAAAAGAAATCCGAATCGCAAGAGTTGCTCGAGGCGTAGCCGAGAGCAACTCTAGCTTCGTGAGTGCTTAGCAAACCTCCCAAGTGCATCCATAACTGGATGATTGTACAGCTGCAACGTTTACCATTTCTTTTATAGCATAATCGAAAGAAAAAACATTATTTTACTATAGACGAGTTTATATATGCTGTCCCTGCGTAAACAAATCATGCCAAAAACTTGACTTCAATGAAGTTTTCTTTCGCTTAATCAGCCGTTCTCCATCTCAAGGTATTAAAATTTTAAAAGGTTTTTTTGTCTTATACTAAATGGTGCCTCTGTCTACTTAAATACTTCTATAAGGGAAACCTATAGCACAAAAACTATAAACACGAAATCAAAGACTGTTTGACATAAAATGAAATCAATGTGTGAATGCAGTAAACTTAAAGTGAAAATAATCAAAAAACAAATGACTATATTTCTTTTATAATACCAGTAAAACTAATTTTAAAAAGACGTTGATTAGCTTTGTATCAAAATGTGTCCAAGAAAATGGAGCCGAAAGTCAAAATTGCAAAAATTCCCCGACACAGCCGGCGCTGAAGTGATGCGTGAGCAATGCCTTGTCTTACGATCGTTCTTTGAAATACTGCTATGAATTAAACCGAACAAAATAATAGACAGAGAAGTCTTTTTTTTTTTAAGTATTGGAAAACCCAAATGTTTCTTTACTGAAATGAAATTCACACTACAATTCCTGCGTCATCCACTTAACTAAAATTAGACCAAAGCTACACAACAAAGCTGAAAGGTCAATAACACAAAGCTAATTGATCCATGCACATTCTCATTTCAAAACGCAATTTTCTCTACTATAACAGACAAAATGTACCTTAAATACCGGACTTATATCCTTTTAAAACTTCGCTCGCTCGGTTGTTCCACCTCGAAGTAGACAATGATGAAGTCCTCCAAGGCAAATTTGTCGCCTGATCTTTTCAGTTTACTTCAAAGCGAGAAATGAGTATTTCTTTATTCTTCTTCCTTTCATTTGTATATTAAACCAGTGCAATTTTTCACCGCACAAGAGAGGATATTTTCTTAATTTGCCTCAATTTTACCGTGCTAGCTTTTTTTTGACGTGCACGTACCAATGGGCAAATGGTAGATGGCTAACTGACCAATCAGAGCGCGCGCTTTACCTTCGTTATGTTATACTATAACAACTGTATTAATTATCGGGTCATTTAGCGACTAAAAACGGGTACACTGTTGAACACTTTTTCGTTGTGGGAAATTTTTTTCACGTCGGCTATATATAGGTAAGCTAGCTAGAGAGAGATATTGTCTCCGTATTTTTGAAAGTTTATTTTGACCCATAACTTAAAGTTCTTGAGATTTTTCGTGGCTTCCATTTTTGCTACTACGGGAGATTACGTGGTTGTAAGTGGAGATTTTTTTCTTCACGTCGAGCAATAAAAATTATGTTAATCAAACACAAAAAGTTTTCCAGAGTTTCAGTCAATTTTTATAATAGCAGACTCCAGAGTGAGGTTGAAAATTTTCTTAAAAGGGCCTGACATATCGTGTGAGCTGGTCCCACTTGGCATGAAGAATTTCACTTGCTTACCCGACTGCTGTCCCTGCCAGTAGTTTTGAATATTATGAATATTTTTATTTGTTGTCGCTGCCTGAATCAGTAACTTCCCTATAAATCTGAAGCCATACGAACAAATTCTATTTCAGTTTTAGCTTTTCAATGTATCTACGTCGCTCGAATAATTCGATTCGAGAATGAAAAGGCGTTTAAAATTCACAAGAAAACTCTTATTTTCGATCAAAACGTTAAACGTCATTAAATGTCCTTCAATGTTCTCTTGTTTTTATGTAAACGAAACTTCAGTTATCATTTTTACCATAGTTTTGACCAAAACTCAAAATTTGCACAAAATTTTCGATTTGAATCTGAAGCTTTGCGGCGAGCTTATAAATGATTGTATCTTTTGACGCAAAAAAAATCAGTTCTCCTTTTAGGCGCGAAAGATCAGTGATATTGCAAGGAACATGAAGACCATAAAACCTAACCTTGTGCAGATGGCAGATGTGTTAAACACCTTAGTTAGACAAGGGAAACTAAAACAAAATCTTCAAAAATGCGGAAATGCAGATCATGAACGTGGGAGGCTCTGACGCTCTTGCTCCTTGGGGAAATGCGATGGATATTTTGTTTATTTGCAAGATTAATGAATTAAGAACATCATAGGTTAAAATTAGATCAATTAAAGTGTTAAAGAAATGTCGGATCAGCTAAACTATTTCATTTTATCTGGTGAATCTTCCCCTCGTTAAGATTTCTTTTAACTTGAAACTAGTAAAACAACTAAAAAGAGGTGGGATATAAATGTTCTCAGAGATAAAAAATATATATACGTGACTGTATGAATGGATTTACAGGCCTACCGGTAGTTTATGTTTTGTTTTCTTTTTATGTCATTGTCTAACTTGGCAGGTAACTTTATCAATTATTGTATCTTTTTTTCTTCATATATGAAAGTCTATATAGGTTGTAGAACAAACCAACTGGCGGCTTAGTCGTATAATATAAATTTCATGATCAATTGCACAGCGTTCACGATAACTACTCTTTAAAATGTCTCGAGGGTAAAAAAATCATTTTAAGCACGGATGAACATCGGCTGACGCAAATTGAATAATTGTTTAAAAGGATACATTTTTAGATCCACCAACTACTCGAATAGCTGTCTCTAAATTCTCTAAGCAAATCATGCCTTCTGGGACTCAGAGACGAATTAAAATAGCTAAATTAAAGAGATTAATGGACCGGCTATTTCGAGTAAGCTTGAATTGTATATAATCGTCCGTATGACTATTCAAATATCGAAGCAATTTCTCTACACCCACCTTTAGCTAATGAACAAGAGGCTGCTATTTTTGATTTAAACAGCTGTTTTAGTTGACAAAATAATTTGAGCCAAGGCATTGTGATTCCAGTTGCCTCCCATGAAAACCTTTCTCTCAATCAATGAACGAAACAATTATAACAATAGATTTGTATCTTCAATTTAGGTTATCTTCCACAAATTATCGCCTTTAAAGCTTAATAAAATAAGGGCGGAAATAGAGGAAAAT